CACCTTGATTTTGAACTTTTGGCCTCCAGAACTAGAAGAGAATAAACCTCTATTGTTTCAAACCAGGCATTTGTGATACTTTGTTAGACAAGCCACAGGAAATTAATACAGTGTCTTAAATGTTAAATTCCCTAGACCTAGCAGAGGGGTTCGGGTGGTGTTTGTTTGCTGAGTGAACCAACAAGCAAGCAGATGAGTGAAGAACAGCCCAGAGTGGAGGCGGGCGGTGGCCAGGTGAGTGTTCCCGTGCAGGTGTGGGTGTGCACGCCCACCTGGGTGGGGGTGGAGGTGGCCACTCACACCCCACCTCAGGCTCTGAGCCACAGGAGCCTTGCTCCCAGAAGAGCTACCTCATAGGGACGTGTCCCTGAGTGCCAGGGCCTCTGATATACTGAGAAAGCAGAAATTCGGATTTTTCGGTGAAATCTCCCAAGCCCTTAAATCTTGGCTCACAGAAGAAATTAGGGTGTGAGCAGACGCAGCACGTCCGCCAGCCAATGAGCGTCTCTAGCGTCCGGCTCAGGCCACAGAGGCCAGTGGGTGGAAATCAGTGGCGAAAGGGAAATGTGTCTTCAGCCCCGGGATCCCGCCTCCTCTCAGACGTGCCTGAGAAAGAGACCAGAGCCATCGAGACCCCACAGGAGGAAGACAGGCAGCATTCTCCAACCCGGATGGCCCCAGCGGCACAGCCGGGCCCTCCGGCGGGAAAAGCCCTTGAGGCCTCCGCAGGACGCCTGACCCCAACCTGGAGATAAACCCTCTCTCTGAGCCGGGGGTTTCCCCGCCCATGGGAGGAGGGGGACGACGTGCACACTCACCACCTCCCTGAGGTCAGGATGCCGAAGAGAGGACTCGGTGACAGGCCTTTGGCCTGGCGCTGTGTCATCGAAACCATTACCATAATTCTAACGGGCGAGATCAGCACAGTGCAGGGTCCCCGACAGCCAGTGCCACCACATCAGTGTAGGCCTGGGTCCCACCGGAGGGGCATGGTCACCAGGATGTGGACTTTGCTTCTCCTCGCTCATTTCCACCGCAAACTGCCGGAAGGAGGCCCCGGAACATCTCGGAAGGGAGCTCCTGAGACTGCGGTGAAAGGCAGAGGGGGTGTGGGTCCCAAAGCCACGGGCCCTGGCTTGAAGGCCAAGTGCGGGTCCCGGGACTGGCAGCAGTTGGGGCACCTGGGATCTATTAGCAAAAGAAAGGCAGGGAGGGAGGTGAGGGAGGGAGGTGAGGGAGGAAGGAAGGTGAGGGAGGAAGGAAGGTGAGGGAGGAAGGAAGGTGAGGGAGGAAGGAAGGTGAGGGAGGGAGGAGCGAGCCCAGAATGCAGCCACAGGTATCTGGACTCAAACACACGCCCCAGTGGTGGTGCTGCCCAGAGTGGTCAATGACTCAGCTGAGGAGGTGACGAGCCCTGTTGCCTGGCACGGTGGGTGCTCCGGCACAGCCCACAGCCCGCCAGCGACCAGTGGGCTCACTGCCCTTGGTGGGGACACGTCCTGGGGGTGAGGACACGTGGGGCAGAGATTGGGAACATGTGAAGACGCGCTTTCACACAGGTTTGTCAGTGGAGGTCCCGACAGGAGCCGGAGTCCCAGCCTCTTCCGCCGTCTTGTGCGCACACAGGTCCACCAGCCAGCGGGCTGGGCTGCGTGGGACCAATGCCGCTCAAGTCACGAAGGGAAGGGTCTGGCCCGGCAGTCACACACCGGAATTCCCTGAAGGACCCGAGGCCAGTGCAGAGCGAGCGGCAAGATCAATCTCCTGTACTGGGTTTTGCACGTGGCCCCTGCGAGACCAACGCACAGCCCCTCCACGAAGAGGGCCTGCTCTCCGCGGCCCCCGTGCAGCTCCGCCACTTTTTTCTCTTCCCCAGACGTTGAGAGGTGGAGTTTGGTAGCAATTGTATAGGCGATGGAGGAGGAATGTGGGGGGGCTTCACCGCTCCCTCAGATGCCTCTGCTCCTGCCCCTGTCCCCTTAGAAGCTGAAGGACCCACTCTTTTTCAAAGTTCATATTCCTTTGTTCTCAAGGGCAAGTCCCCAGCCTGCATGTTTAGCCTAATGAGGAAGGCAGACAAGTAAACAGGCAACTGCCATCAAGTTCCACGAATGCCAGTGGAGTGGGGGTCATGAAGATGGGGAGACATCCTGCCCAGAGGCTCAGAGATGCCACGGAGGGGGCATGCCTTTGTGGGTGTCCACCGGGTTTGTTTACGTGTGGCCTCCCCGGGTAGGGCCTGTGTGGTAGGTGGGGCCTGGATCCTCGCTGCCTAGCAATTCAGAAACCTTTCCTGACACGGCGGCTTAGATTACCACGGTGCAGCACACGAGCCCTCAAGGAGCCCCCGCCCGCCCCCGCCTCTGTGCACACCAGATAGCCTTCCCTCCCGCCCCCACCTTCCAGTTTCTGCGCTGCGCACCCGCTGACCGGCCAGAGCGACTAGAAGGACACCGCTCATCCCCATAGCTCCTCCTCAAGTGCAGGAGCCAGGGACTGCGTGGCTGACAATGCGCAGCTTTGGATTTTTTTTAAACTACTTTTCTTTCAAAATTTTTTATTTATTTACTTTGAGAGAGACAGCAGTGTACGGTTGCCTGTTGCGTACCCCACCACCAGGGACCTGGCCCACAACCCAGGCGTGTGCCCTGACTGGGAATCCAACCGGTGACCCTTTCATTTAAAGGCCAGCTCCCAACCCACTGAGCCACAGCAGCCGGGGCACAGTGTGCAGCTGGGAAACACAGTGAAGGTCTGAGAAAGCTGAGAGAAGTGTCACAGAGGACAATGCCTTGGCCCCCCAGTGGCCCGCATCTCAGAAGCACAAGAGCCTCCATCCACTCAGACTTGTTGTTGCTCAAGGCGGCGACTTCACACTCAGCAGACTCATAGACACCCATGTGTAAACAATCGTACAGCCGGTTTACTAATCTACCCTTTCAGCTACTATTTATGTCTGCTGTTCAGGGCATGCACTCCAATGCATAATTCAGGAACTCCTTCGCAAAGGATTTCATAAGCACCACGTGCTCATTATTTAGCAAACTGTGAGCACCTGCCTGGAGGAAATAATGCAGCCAGGTGAGGTGGAGAACCCAGAAAAGGCAGGTGGAATTGTGCAATGAACTTGGCGTCAAACAAGCAGGAGTTCAAACGCTGTCCACCATTTATCATGCAGGTGACTCTGGGACAATTACTTAACCTTCCCGAGTCTCTTTCCTCCCCTGTAAAATGGGTTTGACAGCACCCCTTCACATGATCATTACTAAACGAGGTCATCTAGGGAGATTGCCTAGCTTTGTGTTTATATTTATTTACCTGGAGAGGCTCTGGCACATGGGGTTAAGGGAACAGACTTTGGGATCACACAGACCTGGGTCTAAGGTCTAGCTCTGTCCCTTCACAGGTACATGATCTGGGGCAAAATGCTTGGGGTTTTTTGTTTTTTAAGATTGTATGTTTTTAGACTGAGAGGGAGAGAAACACCAATGTGTGGTTGCCTTTCATGCGCCCTCTACTGGGGACCTGCCCACAACCCAGGCATGTGCCCTGGCTGGGAATCGAAGGGACAACCTTTTGGTTCACAGGCCAGCACTCAATACTGAGCCACACCAGCCAGGACAGTACAAACTTTTAAAATAAAATTAAATATGAGGCCATTAACCATACAAAAAAAAACCCTAATTAATTTGTATTTGGTTATTTAAAACCTTTTCTGAGGCAGGCCTCTTACCTTAAACTAGTTTCATACTCGTATTTTCCAACAGAGTTTCTAAAATAATGTCATTTGCATGCGGTTGCATGCGGTCATGCAAAAACTCAACTGTTTCAATACCGCTAAGTCATGCTCGGAGGTGAACCGGAGACAACGTTTCTGGGACCCTCCTTTGCAGCTCGTGGACTGGACCCTGGCCTCAGGAAGCGTTCTGCGCGCCTTCTCTCAATTCTAGACCTCCCTTTCACTTACTCTCCCCACTAACGCTGCCAATTTTAAAATGGTTTTTAAAGCTTCTAAATCATGGAAGAGTAGTCTTGAACTTAATAAACCACTCTATCTTTCCATTCTAACCTCCATTCAAACTGCATTGGTGTGCTGGAGCCGGCAGTCCCTTGCCCACTTCATGCTGCCCTCCGCAGCCTTATTTTATCCAGACCCGGGCACCCTGGACACGAGGCCAGCGGCTCTGTTATCTGGCTCTTGTTTCACAGTGGAGCGCGTTTTCAAATTTCAGGATGGACTGTTGACTTTTTACTGTCGCAACGGGAATCTCTTACACAAAACTGTTCAATGAACGGGAGTTTCGGTAATCACGAGAACTAAAATAGGAGGCTCTTTCTAAATCGCACTCATGTTCAGGTGAATGGGAACACTTGCTTTGGGTTATACTTTGCCCATAAATCACAACTTATAAACTGGTGAAGCGACTGCAGGAACAGTCAACCCACCTAATCAGGTGTGTGGGCCAGGCTCCGGGGAAGAAGCGGCCTCACGAAGACTCAGTTAGGAGGACTGGGCAGGTCACGGTCGCCGCGGCCAGGCAGACCCGAGCCCGGAAGGTTAAAGGGCCTCCAAACTTCACCCTGTCGGTGCCCAGGACTAGGGAGGAAGGAGATAAAACTTCCCGTAGAGCGGACAACCCCAGGGGACGGAAAGGAGAGCGCTAACCCCCCCCCCCACACACACACACAAGGCAGCGCATCCGCCGCGAGAACTCGGACCGTCACACGCCAATAGGACAGGGACTCAACCGCCATCTTCCCCCCACCGGCCAAACCGACAAAGCGCGGCCGAGCCCCCACCAACTCCGCGGCGCTTCCTCTCTCGCGAGGCCGCGAAGGCCTCTGGGAAACGCGGGGGTGGGGAGGGCAGGTGAAGGAAGCAGGGACCCGGGGCTGGGGGCCGGGTGAGACGGCGAGCGAAGCCTCCGAAAGCAGAAGGGGCGGGGAAGGGTGCGATTGACGCGGGGTGGAGGCCAATGACAAGCGAGCTCCGGAGGACCTCCCTCCAATGGGCTGTGCTGCCTGGCGCGGGGGGCGGGCACCGGGGTCGAGGGTAGCTTGAGCGCGGCGGCGGCGTTGTTCAGTCAGAGCGAGAACATTCCAGAGGTGAGTCCGGCGGTGAGCTGGCGGCCCCGCGCCCCCTCCCCAGCCTTCCCCGCCCCCGCGATCCCCGCGGGCCGCTGGCTGGCGGGGAAGGCGCCCCGACGCCCGTGGCTCACGGCGCCATCTCTCCGCCGCAGGTCGCCAGGCCCCGGGCGCTGAAGGGTGTGGACCCCGGACGTCGCTGGGACAGCCCCTCCCCGCTGCTCGCCGGCGCCTGCCCGGCCGCTGCTCTTCTCCGCCGCCCCTCCTCGGACTCGGGTTCACGCGCGCCTCACTTCATCCCAGTCCCGGGCGAGCAGCGTTGGGTTTATGTCTTTATTTGACGAAAACGGTGAGTCGCGGGCGGAGCGGGCCGGCGGGGAGATGGCGGCCGCACAAGATGGCGGCGCGCCGCGTGACCCGGCGTGTGTGGCGCAGTTCGGGCGGCGGGCGCCCCCTCCGCGGGCCCGCGTCCCCGCCCCTCCGCACCCCGCCCCGCGGGAGCGCGCCGCGCGGCCGTAGCCCGGCCTCCGTGCTGCATTTGTGAGTCATGGCGCGGGGCGGGGCGGGGGCGGCGCCGGGCGCCCCGCCGCCGGTTTCGATTCCCCGGCCCCGCGCTGCCGCGGCCCGGCGCTCGGACGAGCGGGCCGCGGCCGGGGCCACCCGCCGCCCGGGAGAGGCCTCGCCACGTCGCGGCTCCGCGGCGTCCGGCGAGCGACGGCGGTCGCGGGGGTCCAGCGACTCTTCGAGCGGAGCGGGGCCCGGAGATCGGGGCCCGGGCGCGGCCTCGCGCCGGGCGCGCTCGTGCTGGGGCTGCGTGTCCGAGGTGTGGTGGGACTGTTTCTTTGAAGTAAGCATCAGAGCGGCGGGGCGAGGCAGGAAGAACAGGTCCCGCGTCCCCAAACGGGGGCCGAGGGGGAAGGAGGGGCGCACCGGGATTGGGGGACGGCGTTTCGGGTCCCTTCCTCCTCGGCGCTGGAAGTCGGGCTGGTCGCTGCCGGTCCCAGCGGGGCGGGCTCCCCGCGACCCAGTCGGGCGGGGTCGCACGGCAGCCCGGCGGCGCGGGGCCGGTCTCACCCGAGGCCCGCGGAGGCCGTTTCCGTTGCTGCGGGGTCCGGTGTCCGGGAACGCCCGTGTCCACGGGAACGCGGGTGCCTTCTGACCTCAGGACTCCGGGCGTGGTTACGGGGAGTGGGCGCGGGCACTCCCTACGGAGCCGAGTTAAATGGGGGGCATGTGTGTTCTCTCCCTGTCTCTTTCAGAGCTGTTGCGCAGCCATTGGTACCTGTATTGGGAAAACATAGCGTACAAGCAAGGAGCTTACAGCCTCAGTGGCGAAAACTTTTTCATGTCAGAGACCGAGAACTCTTGCAGTCGTTTATGTCATCCCTTCTTCTCCAGACAGAAGATACCAAAAAGTTGCAATCAAAGAGCTCTTCATCTTATTGATAAAGCTACTAATAAGCCAAAATGTCTGTCAACGTCAACCGCAGCGTGTCAGACCAGTTCTATCGCTACAAGATGCCCCGTCTGATTGCCAAGGTAACAACTCATCATCGTTTCGGCAGCAGGTCCTAGGCCTTTCTCGTGGATTTGTGAAAGATTGCCTCTGGGGTAGACAGTGAAAAATTAAATTCTTATTTCCTGTAGGTTGAGGGCAAAGGAAATGGAATCAAGACAGTTATAGTCAACATGGTTGACGTTGCAAAGGCGCTTAATCGGCCTCCAACGTGTAAGTAACGCCTCTTGGAGAAGTCGGCAGGGCAGAGTGTTGCTCAGTCGTGGCCGTCTGCCAATCGGGTGGGTTGCGTGCTGCTTAGCCTGAGGGTCAAGTGAGACCTTGGGTTTCAGACCAACCGATACATTAGTTGCCATTAGCACAGAAAATTACCCAGGCAACTTTTTTACATTGTTTTCTCACCTGAGGACATGTTTCTGTTGAAACTAGAGAATGGGAGGGAGAGCTACCTGGCCCGGCAACACATTTTTTTAATCCCCTCCCCCCAATTGTATAGAGGATAATTGTATAAACATGTCTGAGTAGATGAAGATTAATTTAGTTAACTGTGGTTAAACTTCCTTTTTCCTAAATAGATCCCACCAAATATTTTGGTTGTGAGCTGGGAGCACAGACCCAGTTTGATGTTAAGAATGACCGTTACATTGTCAATGGATCTCATGAGGCGAATAAGCTGCAAGACATGTTGGATGGTTTCATCAAGAAATTCGTTCTCTGTCCTGAGTGTGAGAACCCTGAAACGGAGCTGGTGAGTGCCTTGGGGGTTCTTGTTAGCGGAAGAAACGGAGTTTCGTACCTGCTTTTGTGATCAGTCCTTGGTAGCTCCAAGTAACGTTCTTGACAAGGCAGAGCACACTCAGTTGGGAATAAAGATTTTGAAGATGTTTACATACTGACTTTTTTTTTTCTTTTTTAAGTAGATCACTTCTAGAGAAACACTTTTGTGTGTTAAGGTGGTGTTTCAGTTAGATGTCTTCTGTTGGTCATTTTCACCCTTGTTCTTGCAGAATTCCTACCATGTGTTATGGATGACATACTTTTTTTTTTTTTTTTTTACCTTTTTTTGGCAGCATGTCAATCCAAAGAAGCAAACGATAGGTAATTCTTGTAAAGCCTGTGGTTACCGAGGCATGCTTGACACACACCATAAACTCTGCACGTTCATTCTCAAAAACCCGCCGGGTGAGTCGTCTTGGTGAACTTGTAAGATTTTTCCGTAGAGTAGCTGATTTTTGGAAATGGAAGTTTCATTGTTGTTATAAAACGAATATAAGGAATTTATGATTCTCTTGACGTTTTAGTGAAGATGTATGTTCTTAAGATGAGTGAATTAGGTGTTGTAAAGCAAATTGCGGTGGGTCATCACAAAGGCTCTCCTGAAATACTCTTTTATAAACGGGTGTGCTTAGCTCAGTAACCTTAAGTCACTTTAGGGCATTGCAAGCAACACTCTGTGGCAGATGATTGAAACCATCTGACACAATTTGAGCTTGCTATAGCAACAGAGTCTAACCTATTCCGGCACTCTCTTCTCCATGGGACAAGCCGTTATACAGACTTAGACAGTGTTCCAGCTGATGGTTGAAGGGCAGTTGTGCTGTGCCCTTCAGTCAAGTTCATGAATGATAGGAGAGGGTCATGAATGCCAACCTTCACTTTTGGGTCTTCGGAGTCGTCTTTTCATGTTACTCTTACCCAAAGTTAATGCCATTAATATTTGGGACTTCCCATTCTTAACCTAAGTTTCTTTAATGAAATACAGTAAACGAATTTGGTCTATGAATCCTCTTGGAATTTTAGGTAGCACCGTGTTTGGTTTTCTGAGAGGAGGGCTTTAAATGTTCACGACAGGAAATGAGGTACAAAATGAGCTGGGTACTAAAGTTCTCTCTGTTGTTTCCCCATAGAGAATAGTGATAGTGCTGCAGGAAAGAAAGAGAAGGAAAAGAAAAACAGGAAGGGCAAAGACAAGGAGAATGGCTCCGTGTCCAGCAGTGAGACGCCGCCACCACCACCGCCGCCAAGTGAAATGAGTCCCCCTCCACATGCTGACGTAAGTGCATGGCTGATGGTGTGGGAGGTGTCAGGGCTGTGTACAGTATGTTTGGTTACAGTGAGCAGAAATACCGAAACAGCATGTTGGGTTCCAGGTGCAAGTGATTGAATTTAGGTGAATCCAATTTTTAGTGGAAAATGCACTTGGTGTTATTTGCTTGACTAGAAATCAGAAACACCTTTTACGTTTTTAAGGCGTTTCACCAAGCACTTTGCCCTTGAAACAGGAGGAAGAAGAAGATGATGACTGGGGGGAGGACACAACTGAGGAAGCTCAAAGACGCAGGATGGATGAAATCAGTGACCACGCAAAAGTTCTGACACTCAGTGATGATTTGGAAAGGACTATTGAAGAACGGGTCAACATCCTGTTTGATTTTGTTAAGGTAAACGTTTGGTAAACATTTGCTTCAACCGAGGTGATCAATAAAATCAGCTTCAATCCAAGCTCAGGTGTTTGTTAGATGTTTATTACTTTGAGCAGATAGTTGGCAAGTAACTTTTTCATGCTTTTTTTTTTTTTTTTAAATATTTGAATGCAAGGCTTCCTTTTACTTTTTGTTTGTTTGTTCAAATACAGTTTCCAGCCAGTACTTTTGGCAGTTGTTGATCATTTGGAAATCTTATAACTGTCCAACTAGGGGAGACATTCATGAGAGTGGGGAACTAACAGGTATGTCTACAGCAAAATGTGACTCCATTTCACCAAAATGCTTCCTTTTATTTGCAGAAAAAGAAAGAAGAGGGCATTATTGACTCCTCTGACAAAGAAATTGTTGCCGAAGCAGAAAGACTAGATGTAAAAGCTATGGGCCCTCTTGTTTTGACAGAAGTTCTTTTTAATGAGAAGATTAGAGAACAGATTAAGAAATACAGGCGCCATTTTCTACGAGTAAGCAATTTCCGATTCATAAATGAGATTACAGCTGTGTGACCTTGGAAACATTACCTTCTCTTTCCCATTTGTTCTTTGTCATCCTGAAAACAGAGGTGACTGACTTACCTTACAGGCATGGCAGAATGTGAAGGCTGCACATGGTCTCTTATAGATAAAGTAATGCTGAACTTCTTGTGTGTCAGCCTTTTTGAACCATTTTTGTGGGGCTGTAACTTTAAGGAACAACCCCAAGGCATTGAAAATATATGCATATTATAATGGTCAGCTTAGGACATCTGTACAAGCTTGTTAATACAGAGATAAAATCTCTTTGCAGTTCTGTCACAACAACAAAAAAGCTCAGCGGTACCTTCTTCATGGTTTGGAGTGTGTGGTGGCAATGCATCAAGCTCAGCTCGTCTCCAAGATCCCACATATCTTAAAGGAGATGTACGACGCGGACCTTCTGGAGGAAGAGGTCATCATCAGCTGGTCGGAGAAGGTAGGGAATAGATAAAGGGCTCTTAAAGATCAAAAGATTTGGGATTTTTGTTTTTTGGAGTAAGTAACTTGTAATAGCTACTCTCTACATGAAAGCACAGTTGTGTGCTAGCCGGTGTGGTTCAGTGGATTGAGTACAGGTTATGAACCAAAAGGTCAGCAGGTTCAGTTCTCCATCAGGGCATGGCCGTCCTGAGTTGTGGGCCAGGTCCCTAGTTGGGCGTGTGGGAGGCAATTGATGTTTTTCTCTCTCATTTTCTCCCTTCCCTTCTTCCAAAATAAGTAAGTAGAATCTTTTAAAAATATACAGTTGCCCTGGCTGGTGTAGGGCCAACGGACCAAAGGGTCACTAGTTTGATTTCCAGTCAGGGCACGTGCCTGGGTTGCAGGCCAGGTCCCCAGTTGGGGGCATGTGAGGGGCAACCACACATTGATGTTTCTCTCCTTCTCTTTTCCTTTCTCACTCTCTAAAAAATAAATAAAATCTTTAAACAAACAGAGGGCAGTTGGTGTGCCTGACTAATGTAACTTGTAGGGGATTTCCCACCATGGCTGGCGGCTTGCTAGTAATAACAAGAAACTGTAGATTCTTCAACAATTTTTTTGTGGAATGGAAATAATTCTGGTGAGGATTCAAGGTTATATGGTGGCCCTGGCTGGTGTGGCTCAGTGGACTGAGAGGGGGCCTGCTAACCAGAGCGTCGACAGTTCAGTTCCCAGGCCAGGTCCCCATTTAAGCACATTTGAGTGGCAACCCACAGACGTTTCTCTCTCACATCAGTGTTTTCTCTCCCTCTCTTTCTCCCTCCCTTATTCTTTCTCCCCCCCAAAAAAAATCTTTTAAAAAAAAATTATGATCCAGTTTCCTCAAAGAGCTCAGTTTGAGCAACTGTACAAAGAACTCAAATTATTATTTTTTTTTTAAGATTTTATTTATTTATCTTTAGAGGGGAAGGGAAGGGGAGAGGGAGAGAAACATCAATCTATGGTTGCCTTTCATGCGTCCCCTGCTGGGAATTGGCCTGCAAGGAACTGGCCTGCAACCCAGGCATGTGCCCTGACTGGGAATCGAACCGCGACTGTCTGGTTCGCAGGCCCGTGCTCAATCCACTGAGCTACACCAGCCAGGGCTTCAAATTATTATTTTTTTAACTTTTCACATTAAAAATTGTTTCTAATGTTTTTTAGGCCTCAAAGAAATATGTCTCAAAAGAACTTGCCAAAGAGATTCGTGTCAAAGCAGAACCATTTATAAAGTGGTTGAAGGAAGCAGAGGAGGAATCCTCTGGTGGTGAAGAAGAAGATGAAGATGAGAACATTGAGGTAAGTACTGAGGGAAGGATTAAATTTGGTGCCAGTGATGGGCATTTGAGAATGGCCAACCTAGGCGATTCAGGCAATAAAACGCTGTCTCAGTGATTTGGAAGATGGTCCTTAATAAAAGGGTAGTGAAAATAATATCCTCAGACATGATTCCAAGTAAATATCTGAATTTCGAACGTAAGGTTTATTGAAATGATGCTGGTTACGTATTAGAGGTGCTATAAAAATTAACAACATACTGTTAAAAGGGGTTTTGTTGTCGTTGGGGATTTTGTTTTTTGCAAAAGTGATGGCTGCATCTAAATGGGTTGTGTTTGTTTTTTGTGTGTGTGTTGGGGGGTTTGGGTTTTTTTGGGGGGGGGGGTTGTTTTTGTTTTTTAGTTTAAAACATCTATTGATTTTTTTTTAGGATGAGGAACATTGATTTGTTGTTCCACTTATGTGCCCTGACTAGGAATTAAACCCACAACCCTGGTGTATTGGGACAATGCTGTACCCAACTGAGCTATTTGGCCAGGGCTAATTTTTCTTCGTTTTACCACTGACATAAAGGTGTGCATGCAACTTAAAAAGTTTTTTGTTTTGTTAGGTGGTGTATTCGAAGACTGCCAATGTGCCGAAAGTTGAAGCTGTGAAGTCTGATAACAAGGACGATGACATTGATATTGATGCCATTTAAAGGGGTGGGTGCAGCCCAGCTTAACTGTAATGCTGAGAATCTTTCTGCATCATCAGCCAGAAGTGCAACATGTATGTGCAAAAGCTTAAAAGGCTTAACATCATGCTACACTTTCTGCTAAAAAATGTGTTGCCGTGAGTGGTCTGTAATTAAGCCCAACAAGATATCTCGGGAGTCCATACACATATCAGTGAGCAGATGTAGTTTGCTTATTTATAGCATGTTTCTTTTTGAAAAATTAGTGGTGGACACATTTGGATCACATTTATACAGTTATAAAAATATTTGATTTCAGTCATTCTTAGGATTTTTTGGCTCTGAATGACTTAAGCTGAAACAATTAGCTCCTTTAAAAAGCATTGTACTATCATTTAACTGGATAGAGTTCTTGGAGCCTGTTAGAAACTGCTAGGTGCTGAGACGGTAAAGAGGTCTCTAGCAGAATGTAAACATACACTTACTTGTAATTACCTTATTCAGCTATTAAGAAATACAGGACTTTCTAATCTCGAGTCCCTCAAATTGGCATCTGGTAATGTACATTCTTACCTGCCAGGGTGGACAGTGCGACACCTTTATCTTACTAAGAGAGAAGGACCTCAGTGTCCTATAAATTTTAAGAGCAGGTTTTTAAAACTTGAAAAAAAAATATTTTTTTTTTCTGGTTTGCATATGCTTGCCCCAAATTGTAGTCTTTGAAGTCATGTGCATTGCAAGTTGGATGAGCCAGGGGAGTTACTCCATTAATAAATAAGTGTTTTATGTGTATGTGGCTGTTGCTTTGTGCTGAGAGAAAACTCTCAGCTTTGGGATATGATTAAACAGTAAATTCTATGATTTTATTTGGGGGAAGAAGTAAAGAGTGCACTTAATCCCTAGCAAAAACCATACTTTTTCAACTTTTATGCTTAATGGTTTAAATTACAATTTCAAAGTGTTTAGACATATTGTGTATTTTTGTTCAGTGTGGGTTTTTCCCAATCCTGGGGCTTATTCTTTAATGTCTTACATTTGAACACGTAGGTTTTTGTTGCTATCTTGCCGAAGTAAGTGTTGCTATGTCTCAAACTTGATTATTATAATTATTTTACAAAATGTCTTATTTAAAAAGAAAACTAAAATTGTACTTCTAAGTCAGCCTATAGTTTGGTGGGAGACTTGGGGTGTCTTTTGTTTCACATTGAATATAATCAGACACTCATGGAGTCTTGGTGATGGCCACTGAATACAGGTGACTAGGGCTTGGCCCAGCCCATCCTGAGCTTTAGATTTAGAAATAGCTTCCTTTTGAATTCTGCCCAATTAGCTGATCTGAACTTACTTGTAATAGATTCTGGCCATATCTTAGAAATCATTTTCAAAGTAAAAAATTGTTTCATTTATTCCTTTTCATTAAAAGTGCACTGTGGAAATCAAGAACCATGGGGGGGTAGTTTTAATTTGGGGCACAGGCTTACATCATTCACCTCTGTTTGTGATCAATCTCAGATTATAATGAGACCTTAACAAATGTATGTAAAAATTTTTCACATTGAAATTATACAAACATTTGATACAATAAAACCTTGTTAGCTTGGTATTTTAAGAAATTAAAATCTAGTGATTTTACTGGAGAGGTATGAATTGGTCTCCAGCTGTCTTTTGATCAATTTTGATGAGAGTGAAGCAGAAGCTGTATACCTGGAGGGAATGTGCTTTGTCACACCAAAGAAAAGAGGTTTTTGCAAATTCTCATCTCACCTAGGTTCTAAACTGTTTGCCACAGGCCAGTTTGCTCTCATTATTTGAAATTCTACAGGAGATGTTGGTGGCCTGGGTCAAGTTGTGTTCAATATACATAGTGGCAAGCTAATGAGGTTCTGTTATAGAAGTTGATTTCCTTTTTTTTTTTTTTTTTTAATCTGAAGGAAAGGCTGTTCAGGGCTTCTAAACATTAAAGAAAACTTTGACTTAGACCTGTGTTCAGTCTGGTGCCAAATTTCCAATAGATTTAAATCCACGTAAGAATTTTATTCACAGAGGCTATCCTCATAGAGTAATCCTTCACTTTGTTCCATTCAACTGTCTTAAAGTTTCCTGTTTCAAACAGCTACATTACTTGATTAAAACAATATTAAAATTATATTTTGTCTCTCCTTTAATGTTAAAATTAACCTGTTTTCCTAAGATACTGGAGTATTGGAGTCAGCCATGTTTTGTAGCTGTTGCTTTGGATTTGTGTTGAACTTTGCCTTCTGCAGTTGCTAGCCCTACTCACAAAACAGATGTTGCTTATTACCTGGGTTCAGTGGTTTTTCTGGGTTTGCGTTCCTATTGTGCAACTTGTATTGATTATAGACTACAAAGGTCTGCCTTAATCTGATTTTATGGAACCTTTATGGGTGCTTACTAGGAAATTCAGGCATCACGTATACAGAGGCATACCTGAGAGACTGCAGGTTTGGTTCAAGACCGCCCTAATAAAGCAAGTTGTGTAATCATTTTGCCGGTCAGTGGTCTTGCCTTAAATTTGTAACATAACATCTGTGAAGCGTGGTAAAAACAAGGTCTCCCTGTAGTTATGCAACTGGATATAACATATATCTGTAGTTGAAAAGGAGGAAAATGGGGGGAGATTGCCCTCTAAGCCAGTCTTTTCTGAAGTAGATGAACTTAGAAGGTGTCACTTGGGGTTCTGAAGGTTTGAAGGTAGAAAAGTGTTCTCTAATCAGTGCTCCCGGTGTGTGGGGATTGACCTCTGCCTGCTGTTAACTGCAGCACACCAAACACTGGCTTAGAGCCGTCTGCCCAGAGGTCACTCCAAAATGAAGCTGACTTCCCAGGAGAGTGGCAAATCCGGAAAGGTATTCTGATGGAATCTACTTAAACCACGAGTGAGACTTAAGTTCTGTAGTTCTGAGACTACAGCTCTGCAATCGATTCTTATGTAGTGGATTCTTCCTAATGGCTGTAGCATGCTCGGCCAGTTTTCAGGCATAATCCAGAAAGGCCCAGTTAACTCAGTCTGCACTGTCACTTGGGTCCGACTCGGGCCCGTCTGACCACTCCAGAGTTTCAGGAGCTCCATGCCAGGAACCATTGCACATTGTCTCTGCCTTCTCCAACTGTGATGTGGTATGTTCTGTTTTTCCCAAGAGGAAAGACAGTCTCCTCTGTCCCCGGTATTACTTCCCCTACCTCGACTCCTAAGAGCAGACAGGGGACTTGCCAGTTGTCTGGCTGGCTTGTAGGTGGCCTCCGGGGTCTGCTGTTGTGCACCTAGATGCACAGGAATGCAGGAGCGTGTGTTCTCTGCAGTGGGGCTCCGTGCTCTTGCCTTGGCTCCTGGCCAACAGAAGTCCTGAGGAATCTCACCTCTGGGTCACTGCCAGGAATATGAACCATTTCTGTGTGCTAGGATGTGGGAATGACGGCTCCAGAAAAGTTTAATTCTTTGCTGGGATCTCAAAGCAGATGTCAGGCTCTGAGTTGCCCCAAGTGCCCGCTGTTTCGTCGTCCATCCAGTGAGTGCTCTTTAAGGGAAACTGAACTGGGCTCTGGCCAGGGCCTCCCTGTGAAACTGGAAGACTGTCTTCCAGGCCTGCCCAACAGGAATGGTAACCCTGTGTACAACACCTCAACCCCCTAACGCTGCCATTGGGGGAGAAGCTGCCAGGCTGGGGCAGTGAGGCAGAACAGTTCTGTCTGGAAGGGCAGGCGGCATGCTGGGGCCTCCAGTCATCTTGGCTAGGGCTCAGGCTTGATGGGCAGCAGGCAGCTTAAAGGAAAACGCTCTCTTGCCTGGGGAACAGTTTCGGGGTGGCACAGTTCGTGCTTCACGCAGCCCTAACCTAATGTGCCAGAGTTGGTTGGCATGAACAGTGCTCATTCTGCAGTAATAATCAGGCCAGGGCAGGGACAAAGGACAGCCACTGACCCTTACTAAAGTATCATAACAGCAGCAAGTAGTACCCAGATTAGTAGCCAGCCCTGCCCTTGGCTTGTGCAACAGAGTGGGCTGAAGAGTTACACCAGCCCCCTGAGGCAGTGAGCTGGTGCTGGAGATGTTTTGTCCCCAGATGAGGAGGACTGATAGGTGCAAGGCCAATGGGTAAGGCAGGGCTGAGTCTGGTCCCTGGGTCCTAATGTACAGGGAAGGCAGGCTTCCAAAGCACACCGTGTGACTGGTGGCACAGGGATTTGGTAACACTAAATGGGGAAGAAAAGCCCAGAGGAGGAGACTGGACTGGACTGGCTCAAGGTCCAACAGCACACCCATGTGGGGGCTGCACCCTGGGGCTTCTACCTGTGTTAACACTTGGTTCTGTGGCAATAGGAAGGCCTTTCTGATCCTTAGTTGGGACGTGGGATAGCAGCTCTTAGGCATCCCAGCATGTTCTTGAGGGAAACTGCAACTGAGGAGGCTGGAGCAGGGTGCAACAGCCATTGTCAGGCTGAGAAACTGGGTCCCAGAGGAGCAGGGCATGCACACGCACCCCGTTCCCTGAGCTGCTGGTCTTCCACAGTCTGGGTGAGCTTGCATTTGCCCTTTGTCCCCGGCCTGCAGGGAATCCCAGACCAAAGCAGGCACAGGTGGAGGAGTGGAACTATAAAGGAAAGAAATTGGGGACTTTGCGGGCAGCTTTATGAAAGAGGCAGCACCTCATATAAGAGCTGGAATTTGCCCCAGGGTGGGAGTGTGAGGTGGGAGGGGGCGTGTCTGTAAATTAAACCCAGCAGTGAGTGCAGTGGGTAGCGGGAAGGGGGCAGCAGGACCTCATCCCTGGGCCTGAGACTGGACTGCATAAGTCTTGCAAGCTGCAGGAACAGTCAAACGTTCACATTGCCCTGCTGCTGGGGGGGGGGGGGGGGGGGGGCTCAGGAGGGGTGGGGCATCCCCTGACTGACAGCAGCTGTACTGAGGGCCACACCGGTCAGACAAGGATGCACTTCACTCTGGAAAGGTTAGGGCCCCCAGGCAGGCTTGGCTGCTGGGAGGGCGCAGTGTTCTGGGCTGGAGGGACTGGCAAGCTCATTTCCCTGTTCCCACAGGCAACAGACTCTTGTGCATTCGGGGTTAATGGAACCTTCCTTCTTGTATCTCCTGTTGGTTTGGGTGAAGGTCAGTACCCAGGAGGGTGTCCCTGGAGGTTCAGGGCCTGAGGATACATTCACAGTGTTCTGGTTTCCGGACCAGGGACAGCCCTCTGCAGTTTGGGGTTGGGGAATGCAGGCAGTGAAAGAAAGCATCATCCAGTATGACGTGGGCCTCACGTGTTAGTCTTAAGTTCTTAAGACGATGGGAAGTAACCCTAAGTTGTGGAGCCCATTGGAGGAGGAAGATGGTAACCTGGCCTTGAGAGGACCTGGGTATAGCAGGTACAGCCTTGTGGACACATGCGCTAACTAGGGCTCCAGGAATGTGGGCCAAAAGCATCCTTTTGGCACTGCTTGCCTGTCTGCTGCTCTGTGGGTCTCTACTTCCCACGGCCCATACCCTTCCTGGCCCTCCATGACGACGCTCGACTTTGGGATTTGGCTTTCTCTTGGTCCTGCATCCGGTCCCGTGTCTGTCAAGCCTTTCTTCCTGCTTCCTGACGGCCAGAGTTCCAGTTCCAGTTCCCTGGGAGGGTGTGTCTGTGTCTCCACTGGCACTCAGTATCCCCGTCAGGTGGCTTCCCGCCTCCAGGAGCTCCACGGGCAGCTCCTTAGGACTGTGGCTAAGGGGGGAGGGCGTTAGCGAGGGATTTGAAACGTGGTTGCCAAGGTTTGCCTTACGATAAGGGGTTTGTGATTGGGGCAGCAGAACCCTTGGCACTTGGAGACATCTAGGACAAGCGGCCATCCCTGGAACCTGTTTCCTCCCTGATGAGCAGTTCCTGAGGACATGTGCTCAGCCTCATAACCAGTCGACCAAAGCAAGTGACACCCACCCTTCCATGAGCAGCCACTCTGGGATCCATTGCCCTGTGTGGGAGGCAAGAGGGCAGTGACACCGGCCCTGCCACAAGGGTCTTGGTTGATAGGAGAGGCACAGTTTGCCTTGTGGGCGCCCTCAGAGATCCCTGACTGAGGGGGGCTGGGCGCGGCTGTGATTCAGGTTCCCTCGAGAGGCCATCAGGAAGGGTTTCCCCGGGGGTCTGCTGTGGAGTCACTGAGACAACACCCTCCGGGCCACAGGGAGCCACAAACAGAGGAGCCAGGCAGATGCACAGGGAGCCCTTTGTGGGAAGGGAGGTCAGGCTGTGGTGACCAGACTGCACAACACAAAGGACATCAGAGGGACAGTCCGCATGAAGGGAAGATGATTCGGCTTCGGGACCTGGTGGGTGTCAGGAGCCTTTGGCATATCCAGGCGGAGTGGTCCAGGAGGCGGCAGGGTATGAGCACCAAGCTGGGAGTCCTGCTCTGGGGGCCTCTGTCAAGGCAACAGCAGAGTCTGCTTCTGGGGAGTTTCTGCTGCTTCCCCATTGGCCGGCATCTCCAAGGGTGGGGACAGATGGGGCTTATCTGCACCCCAAGTTCCCAAAACCGGGCTTGCATATGGAGGAGGTACCCAGGAGATCGCCAAGTGCCCGGATAGATTAGAGGTGGAGAGATCTGTGGGTGGGTGGACGGGTAAATGACTAGGTATGTTGGTGGGTAGGCAGGTGGATAAATTTTATTTTTATTTTTAGAAAAGAGGGAAGGGAGGGAGAAAGGGAGAGAACATCAACTTGTGAAAGAAGTATCGGTTGGAGGTGGTTCAACCATGGTTCAGTTGGCTCAGTGGGTTAGGCAAACCCAAAGGTCACGGGTTCCATTCCCAGTCAGAGCACATGCCTGGGTTGCAGGCCAAGGTCCCCAGGTGGCAGGCATGTGGCAGGCGATTGTTCAGTGTCTCTCACACACAGGTGTTTGTCTCCTCCCCTGCCCCTCTCTCTAAAAAGTAAATGAAATCTTTGAAAAAGAAGGTTTGTGTAAAAACTGAATATTGTAGACTCCATTTGAGGTGTGTGTTGAACTCTTGGCTCAGAAGGCCCAACCACTAAAAATTGGTTTGTTTCTACAAAAATTAATTCAAATATGCTTGTAAAAGATTTTATTTATTCATTTTTAGAGGAAAAGGGAGGGAAAAAGAGGAAGAGAAACATCAATGTGTGA